CTCACTGGGGTACAGTCCCACACACACTGACTCTCACTGGGGTACAGCCATTTTTGCAACGTTTAAGACTGTGGTTTGTAATTTTTTTTGGTGGTTTGGGATATTGAAAGGTACAGAACAAAGATGTGAAAATGGCGTTCGGGTGCAGAGTAGCTATGATTTCTGTGCAGTGGTGAATGTTCTGTTCTTGTTCCTGGTACCTCCCCATTGAATTAGCTGAATCGGAACTGCAACATGGACAAGTTCCTCAGCTCTCCCAGTCCATGTCAGTATTTTCCCTCCATGGAATGCTAAACCTAAAATCCACAATTCATTCCATTAACCCATTGCTATCCTACTCTTTGATGTTGTGATGTTCTCTGATTCAGTCCTGAATTTGGATTTTTCCCACTGCCTCAGTCTGGTTAAAAATAATTCCCCTGCTACACCTAAATCACGAGCATTTGCTCTTGTATCCCTGTTCCATTCTTCTAGATCACGGGCTGTTAGCAACGGATTTCTTGCCTGGTGATAGCTGTTGATGATGGGCTATTCTGGCTGAATTTTGTGTGGTTTTGAATAATCGCTTTGTTTTCTGACCCTGCAGCTGATGACGTCAATTCTTCGTTTCAAATCCAAAGGCAGTTTGAACCTGAAGGCCCACTGGTGAGTGTAGCTGCTGCTGGGAGTCACGAAGTGAGCTCTGGTTGGTGTGGGATGGACCCATTTGTGTGGACTGGGTTGGACTAGGCCTTTGGGTCAGGTTTTCTTGACCCTGGAAGATGTGTGGAGATGGCCTGAGATGGAGAGTGAAATGGTTTGATGTAGTCAGTCTATACCTGATTCAGTCTGCTACTATCAGTTCTTGACCCATGCTGTTTAATTTCCATTCCGCTAGGTGAATTCCGAGTTTTATGTGGGATGGTTGGATTACTGGGGAGTGGAACATTCAGTTGTTCCAATTGAAAATGCCACCAGAATGCTGGAGGAGATGCTGCTACTTGGAGCCAGTGTGAATATGTAAGCTAATGTCTTTAATTACCCCCTGTCGGACAAATCAGTCGCTCTGACACTGCCCCTCGGAATACACAGCTCCTGGATACCCCACTTGGCTCCCTTGTGTTACTCGCGTTATCCTTGATAATGGATTCCCCATCTCCAGCTGCCTGCCTCACCCCCACCCCCACCTCCCCACTCCCTCACCCCCAC